TATATATATATATATATATATATATATATATATATATATATATATATATATATATATATATATATATATATATATATTTTTTTTTTTTTTTTTTTTTTTTTTTTTTTTTTTTTTTTGTAAAAATTATTACATAACCTGCCGCTTTAATCGTCGTAGGTTCAATGAACTTGAAATAAAACACTTTGTATTGTCATTTCTTTGTCATATTAAGAGCTGTTAATATGTGTGACAATGTGATAATTTGTTGTCAGCGACAAATTACAGGCATTTCTTCTAAATTCTCGTAAATTTCAAAGGGTGATAAAAAAACAACAACTTGCAAATCGACTTCTTGTTGTCATTAACAAATGTTATAATGATTTTATTATATATACGACTTGAATTCACATGGCGTTGACAGATACACACACAATTTCTGTTCTTTAAAGCAGCCGCACACACCCGACGATTTGCTAAAAGTGTGGCGTTCGAAGCGAGATTGAAATCATTTGCAAGTATTTTTTTATAATTCAATTAGAACCTCAAAAATCTTAAATAACAGGAAGAATTTTTTGACAAATATTTTTAAAAGCTTATATCAGTGTTGCCATGTGCCAATCGCAGTAAGTGACAGCTGGGTGTATCCTGCTTATTTGTTTTGAGACAAAAAATCTGATGGGTGGAATTTAAAAAATATAATTTCAAGGAGTAAAAATTACGAATTTTTGTAAGGATATTTTTTCAAAACCTGTAGAGTTCTAATCTTGAATTTTTAAAAAAAATATGTCGGCGAGGATTTTTGAGGTATAATCGTAGATTTATAAAAATATTTCATTGAAGGTTTGCAGGGCCAAAATTGTGGATTTTTTTCTGTAAAGGCTTTTGGTGATTTAGTGATGGATTTCCAAGCAATATTTCTGTGGGGACTTTCAATACCATAGTCGTGGATTTTTAAATAATATTTCTTCAAGGACTGTCTTATCGTGGGTTTTTACAGACTATTTCTTCAAGGAATATCTGGACCATTATAGTGGATTTTTAAAGAATTTTTCTTTGGGGACTATCAGGCTCAAATTTTTAGACTTTTAAAAAGAATTTCTCCAAGGAGTAAAATTTGCATTTCTTATAGAAATTCGGGTCTATAGTCGTGGTTTTTTAGAGAATTTCTTACAAGACTATCAGCATTATCATCGTGGATATTTAAATCATATTTTTTCAAAAACAATTATGCCAATAATCGTTTTTTTTAATGAATATTTCTTCAAGGGCTATTAAGGCAATGTCGGAGTTATATTCGTTATATATAGTTATATTCGTGGATTTTTTGATAATATTCCTTCAAAAGCTCTTATGGCCATAATCGTGGATTGTTAAAAAATTATTATTTTAGGGACTGTCTAATTGTGGATTTTTAAATACTACTTCTTAAAGGACTGCCTAATCGTGGATATTTTAAGGAATTTTTAAAGACTATTTTTTTAAGGACTGTCTGGACCATTATAAATACTTTCCAAAGAATGTTTCTTCAAAGACTATAAGATAAATGATAATCGGCCAAGTAATCGTAGGTTTTTAAAGAATATTATCTCAAAGAACATTAGTACCAAATCGTGGATTTTAAAGAATGCTTCTACCAGAATGAACCCATAATTGTAATTAATTAAATAAAAAGCATTTCCTAATTGATTATAAGGACTTTCAGAGCCACTATCATACATTTTCACAGAAGATTTTAACGACTATCGTTACCATAACCGTGGATTTTTAAATACTATTTCTGCAAGAGCTAGTAGGGGTTTTCCAAATAATATTTGTTTGAGAATAATAAGGATCTTAGATTTGTAAAGAATATTCCTTTTAGTAAATCAGCTATATGCTGCTAATACTTAAGAATACTTAATCGAGGATTATCAGGGAGGTAATTATATTTATTCAAACAACATTTATTTGAGAACTATAAAAGCCATATTTGAAAAAATTTAAATAATATTTTTTTAATGACAATTTTGACCATAATCGCGGATTCTTAACGAATATTTCTTCAAGGTATATCGGAGCTATAATTGTGGGTGTCTAAAAATTTGCTTTTAACAACTATCAGAGCCATAACCCTGGATATTTAAAGAATATTTTTAAAGAATATTTTTAAGAGTGCCGCAATCGTTGGTTTTTACAAAATATTTCTTCAAGGACAATTACTCCTTCAGAATTACAATCCCCACAATTGTGGATTATTAAAAACTATTTCTAAAATTACTATGAGGACCATAGCCGTGGATTTTTTTATGGATTACCAAACTTGGACCATCAATCGTGGATTTTTGAAAGATTTCTTTGTCAACGAACATCAAACGTGGACCAGTAGATCATCAAACCTGGACCATCAAACAAAAATTTTATAAAGATCCTTTTGTCGAAGAACATCAAACGAGTCCAGTAGATCACCAAACGTCGATTTTTTGAAAATTTAAAAAAATAAACATGGATTTCTTAAAAATTACTTTGTCGACGAATACCCAACATGGGCCATTAGATCATCATGAACATCCATCGTAGATCATTAGATCATCAAACTTGAACATCCAACCTGGACTGTCAAACGGGGATTTTTATACCCTACACCACAAGGTGGTCAGGGTATTATGTCTTTGTGCATTTGTTTGTAACAGGCAGAAGGAAACGAGATAGACCCATAGTTCCTTTTGATGGTCTGCATAGAATCACATTCTGAGTCAATTTATGCATGTCCGTCCGCCCGTCTGTCCATGTATTTTTGTAAACAAAGTACAGGTCGCATTTATTGCCCGATCCAGATGAAATTTTGCAAAGATCTTTTGTTTGGCCCAAGGACGAACCCTATTGAAATTGGAGATAATCGGTCAAAATTTAGATATAGCTCCCATATATATCTTCGTCCGATTTGCCTTTTATTGTGCACCAAACGTGTAATATCAGCCCGAATTGTATGGAATTTTGCATATACACCCAAATTAGGCCTGAAAATATGTATGCCAAATTTAATCGAAATCGGGGCAGATATAGCTATAGCTCCCATATATATTGTTCATACGATTTGTTATTTTTGTCCACCGCCGCCGTAATATGCACTATGCAACAACAATATTTGGGGAAATATATCAAATACAGATCAGAAATACATTTGCTAAATTTTATCGAGATCGGTTCAGATTTGGATATAGCTCCCATATATAACTTCGTCCGATTTACCTTTGATTGTGCACCAAACGTCTAATATTTGTCCAAATGAGATGGAATTTGGCACTTACGACCGAATTGAGTCTAGAAGCTAGTATGTCAAATTTGGTGAAGATCGGTTCAGATATAGCTATAGCTTCCATGTATATTATTCATCCGATTTGTTATATTTGTTACCCACAACCGTAATATGCACTCCGTAACAACGATATTCAGGGAAATATATCAAATACAAATTTTATCGAGATCGGTTCAGATTTGGATATAGCTCCCATATATATCTTTATCCGATTTCAAATTAATTGTGTACCAAATGGGCAATACAATTCCGAATTTAAAAGATAAAAATGCTTCGGCATATTTAGTCCTTTGAACTTTAAATTATAATTATAATCATAGCGTGTATGATTGAATTGTCTCATAAAAACTTTTAATTGTTATGCGGAGCTCTACTAAATTAGCAAAGTGGTGTAGGGTATCATAAAGTCGGCCCCGCCCGACTTGAAGACTTTCTTTACTGGTTTTAAGGTCTCTTTGTCATAGACTATCCAACATGGACTGTCGAAAGTGGATTTATTTAAGATTTCTTTGTCAAGAACCATCTAACAATGCAGATATTTTCTTGATATATAAAGGGGATAGCTATTTCTATTCGTTGCTGACATATGCTAAAGTTTGATAAAAAAGAATTTTGTCTTTGACGGCATCTTTCTAAAATTATGCTTTGTAGGAGAATTTTGCACCACTTCATATAACCCAAAAATGTTTAACCCAAAATTGTGGCGTCTTGGTAAGATTAAGACTTTTGATGTATTTTGGGATCTGTAGTAGAATTTTATGACAAATTAATTTGTAGAATATTTTGACGTGCTATGATCCCGTTTAAAGGGAGTTTTTAACCATATTTTGAACAAGGACCAAACAGACTCTTTTAATGACTCGTTTGAAGTTTACAATTTTCCACCAAATTAATCGTCGTATTCTTATCTGGAATATTATCGAAGACACTATATATCGAAAATGTAAGGATTTCAAGGAATCTTAGTCCCAAATTTTCAAAAAATTTGGAAGAGTGTGAACTTGGACCCACCATTTTAGCTACTTTGCAATTTAAACGTTCAATCCTCCGACACGAGTATCATCTATTTATAGTTCTACTCTCATAATCTAATAATTTCTTCTTTAATTATGGAAAAAAATTGAATTTTGTCGCACAGTGTCTTATTATTATAAAAATAAACTCACTATCGTCTGATTCCTCTGGCGTTTACTTTAATCGAATTTAGTATATTTAGATCAAACACAACCAAAAATTCCCTTTAACATAATAAAATATAGCAAAAACACTCTCGCTAATAGTTTAATGGTTAATTGTTTAATTTTTTACGGTTGTTCGGTCTGTGTGAAATCACCTTGAATTATCGCTAAGTGGGTCAGTTTTATGAGTGTTAATTAATTGATGTTGGTGCTGCTGTTGCCAATTATTGTATTATTTTTTAGTTAGTCTTTTTTGATTATCGTCTTTTTTTCGATTTTTTGAAGAATGTTGTTAATTTTTCAAAAATAAATTAGAAGATGGCAAAATCTAAATAAAAAAAGAGCATAAAATCAAACGAACGTCAAAACACTATTTGTCAAAATTTTCAACACTTCAAAGGTTAAGGTCACATTGCCACTTGCTTGTGATTGGTTTTTGGTTGGAAATTCTGTCCCTCTGTCTGTTTCACAACTGTTAATCTTATTTTATTATAAGCCAAAGAGAGGAAGCCATTTATGTGTGGAGAAAGAGAGAGGAAGTTACTTACATTGGATAACTGTTGCCGGCTGTCGGACAGAATAACTGATGATAACGTTTTATACAGGGCACACCCTTTATCAAATCGCCACGTACATCCAGACCCAAAGCCACCGACAGAGCTGTCCACCAAATCTAAACAAAATATAAAAATTGAAGTCAATTGTGGGTTGTAAAGTAATAAAAAAGTATCAATAAATATTTATTTATTTATATTTACAGTAATTTGACAATGTGCTAGACATGGAGATCATTAGGGTGATAGCAATAAGTGTTGTTAATGCTGGCGTCTTTAAATCATTAAATACTGATAACACAAGCATACAAAAATTTTTGAAATATAAAAATAATTAAGTGTAATTCTAACAAGTTAAAAAGTATCAGTCGGTTTTGCCGACAGATGTATACCCTCAGACAATGTTCGACTATTTAAATATATTTTGACTTCTGTTATGATTATTTAGATTGTTGACCCTCTATGGAGTAGGTTCCGAGGGATTTGGGTCAATATTGTCCATTTCGTATCGAACCTAAGTAAATATGATATAAATATTGCGACGTGCCAGGCTTTGACTATATCGACTGCTTCCTTCACTTTATGTGAGATATGTGTAAATTTTTAGATCCGAAACAGATAAAAATATTGTTATGGGCAAAATTACAAGAAAATCGAACATTTATATCCAATTCTATGCGAAATTCCATATTCATCCCAGGTTTCTGGTTGAGAAAAACATTTAGTTGTAAAGAATCGTTGACTTGTTTCGCAAGTTATGACCGATAAAAGTAGTGAAAATTGTGACCCTTTGTGGATGAGGTACCAGAAGGGGTTCGCAGTCATCTATCATCTTCACAACAGATCTTCTGTTAGCAAAAACGTTTGTATGTATGTGTGAAATTTGAGGAGAGCTTTCCTTGAGCGTTTTGTTTTTCAAAATCTTGAACCCAGAGTGGGGGAGTTACCAGAAGGCATGGTCCGATCTCCACCATATTTATAAAAGATCTTGTGTTGATGGAAATATTGTATTGTATAGTCTGAATGGAGTCGAATGATAATTTTGCGTTTTATGAGCTTCATGGATACTCAAAATGTTGACCTATTGTGGGGGAGGTACCAGAAGAAGTGAACCTATATATTCCATCTCTTATGTTAGTAGAAACAATGGGATGTGTGAAATATGAAGAGAAACCGATTCTTATGTCGGATTTTATGATTGTTTTAATTATTCAAAACTTTGACCATTTGTGGGGGAGGTACCAGATGGAATGGTCCGATCTCTACAATCTTTATAACAGATCTTGTGTTAATAGAAATATTGAGAAGTGCCAAGTCTGTATGGAATAGGATGTTAATTACGCATTTTACGAGGTACCAGAAGGAGACTTTCAGTTAATAGAAATATTGTATTATAAATATCGATGTGTGTGATTTGAAGACAATCGGACTCTTACATCATATTTTATAAGAGTTATAAATATTCAAAATGTTGACCCTTTGTGGGGGAGGTACTTGATGAATTGTACCGATATTGTTCATTTTCGCACCTGAAATAGCACTGATGCAAATATCAGGATTTCAAAATTTGGAGTAAAATCGGATGATCCTTTCGCTTTCTATGCAGTAAATTACTTTCTTTGAAAATTTCCAGAAGGAGTGGACAGATATTGCCTATCTCCGAACTCGATCTAAGTTTTACAACAGTATTGCAATGTATTAAGTTTGGACCAAATCAGATACTCCCTTCAAGAGTTATCGTGCGCACCAGCCAGACAGACGGACAGACATCGCTAGGTCGACTCCAAATGTCCTGAAACGGATTTGGTCCTAGGGTCTAAAACCTTTATTTCGATTAGGCACATTTTGACCGTATCAAATGATACATGGCTGAGGGTATAAAAAATTTTGTCGAAAAATACCTTTTAAATGAAAACCGTTATACGAGGACGTGGTCCTGCATAACTAATTATTTGTTCATAGGTTCTAGTACCCACTACGATTTTCAACTAAAAAAAATGTAAAATGTTTCTAAATTCATCAAAATAATTCATCAAATGGACCGACATGGCCCATTTACGAACTTAACACACGTGTGCAAATTTTTAGCCACGCTCATTAATGCTGTTAGCGTAGCCCGGCGTCAAGTAAGTGAACGGAAGAAAACAACAACATCAGCAGAAATGGTTAAAAAAGTAAAGAAGCGACTTGATCGAAACCCGCGCAATTTCCGAAAAATGGCTCGTGAGCTGCATATCGTGAGCATATCGCAATATTCCATTCGGCAAATTTTGAAAATGAGATCGGGTAAAGCCATTGAAATTCCAAACAGTGCAAGAACTTACACCGCAACAGAAAGATAATAGAATAAAAAGAGTTGCTTCGCTTGGCCGAAAGTGGTGAACTGCCGAATTCGTTGTCCAGCAGTTTGTAAACAAACAAAATGATCGTCTTTACTTGCCAAAGAGGTCAGCTGAAAATGTGCTCCTTCGGTTGGCCACCAAAACTCAAGCGCCGGCCATGGTGATGGTGTGGGTCGCCATAACAGCCGATGGTTGCTCTTCGCTCGTATTAATCGACCGTGGTATCAGAATAAATGCCGAATATTATCGCGAAAATATTCTGGAGGGTGTATTAAAGCATTGGGCACGCAAACATTTTGGCCGCAGACCTTGGACATTCCAAGAGGCCTCAGCATCGTCGCACTCAGCACGCGCCACCCAAGAATGGTTACAAAATGAGGTTCCTCGCTTCATTTCCACCTCCAAATGGCCACCAAAATCTCCGAATACCAATCCGTTGGACTATTGTGTCTGGAGTATTTTGAAAAGCAAGGTTGTCACTAAAAAAATACGAAAGTGTCGATCACCTCAAGCAAGCGCTTCGCCGGGAATGGGCCAAAATACTGCAGAGCAACATTCGGGCAGCGTGTGACGGTTTCATTGCCTGTTTGAAGGCCATAATTCGTACCAAAGGTGCCCAATTCGAACAAATCTAAACTTATTTTAAAATTTGATGTTAATTCCGACATTTTTTGCTTTCATTCGATAAAATTTAAAAAAAAAAACATTTAAAGATTATGGCGTTTGACTTGCAGTTTTTTTATATCACCCTGTATATACTTTATAGGGTCTGACATGAGTATTTTGAGGAGTTATAAATGGAATGACAAATTTAATTTACCCTCCATAGGGTATAAAAACATTTAGATTGCTTTAAGAGTCCGTGGTATTGAAATTGTTTATTTAAGTATAGTTCGTATAAAGCAGTGACTTCACGTTACCAATCGATTTGATATCGAATCTTACAAATTCCAAATGAAGGAGAATTACGACAGTAAAATTTTTCACCCCGTCATCTTTTTCACAATGTATTAACTCTATTTTTAGGCCAGATTACACATCATGTTTGGGCCATATGCAACGTAACTTGATCCACATTTATTTTTAGCATTTTATAGCGTAGCCTTCGGTTTCGAGAAAAAATTGGATTTCTGTAGAGCATCTACTACAGAAATCCAATTTTTTTCTCAAACCGATTTTTTCTAAGAAGTGTCACTCTTTGACTAAATAAGCAATATGACTTTAACATAAATATTATACCGGGTTTTAAATCATTTGATTTCTTCTATATTTTTTCAGATTTCGAGGAATATGCTATATGTGAGCATGATGAATGGAGAGCGATTGGGAAATCGGTAAGTAGTATTTGTTAGGTTGAAAATTTATTTAAGCTAAAACAATGTTTTTCAAATCTCTCCTCTCAATAATTAAAAATAAATACTTCTTGTGTTGTCCAGTGTAATCTACCATTGATAATTAAATTCCAAAAACGTATTGAATGAATCACGTGCCATTAGAAGAGATGTCAGTACGGTAATTCTTTTCTTGGCTTTTTTGTTTATTACGGAGAGGAGTTGCTTTCGGTCAGCACATTCAATGGACGTCGCCTCCACTGGCATTCTTTATATCAAACGGACGTTGTAGACGTTGACGAGCGGCTCTCTATAGAATATTTATGAATGAATGAATAAAAATATCTAAACGATGACGATGATGATGATGATGGCGATGATAATGATGAAATACACGTTAGATTCTAGTTTCAAATTTATTCATTCATAATTATTATTTTTTTCTTCTGATGTTGTTTTTTCTATGATTGATATGCACTTGTAATTTGAGCTGGGCTGGGTGGTGATGTCGTCGTCTGTCCGTCCATTCAACGAATACTGACATACTGACTGACTAACACGGACGGGTGGGCTAGTTGGATGGCTTGATGGCTGGCTGATTGACTAGTTTTTGTTTCAAGACCTTCCTTCTGGCTATGAAAAGACATCTAAGTGTATTAGAAGTGGCGGTGGAGAGGAGGGGGAGCAAGAGACGTCAAAAGGTGTTTTATTTAAACATGTGTTGTATTTCACAAACTGAACAAGTTGTTTTTTTAACTTAATAGTTTGTGTCCACAAAGAAGTAAAGATGATGAAAGATAATGATGATATTGTTCATTGATCAGCTGTTGCTTGGCTGAAGATGCAAAACGGGTTTCAGTTTTGAGCTATTAGTTTAAGACTAATTTATTTCGAAAAATGCATTGAACTTTGCTGAACAAATTCGCCACTGTTTGGAGATCCTCCAAGCAGCATCGGTGGTTCAGTGGTAGAATGCTCGCCTGCCACGCGGGCGGCCCGGGTTCGATTCCCGGCCGATGCAGACGACTTTTTTGATTTCATAATTTCTTTATATTTTTCAATATAAAATAAATAATGGAGCATACACGCGCTTGACTTACAAAATTTTAGAATTAATTACAACCATAAGTTATTTAAAAATACAAATGTTGAAATGTTGTCAAGGGACAACATTAGTGGAAAAGCCAAAAAGATTATGAAAGTAGAGCTAAAAACATAAGACATATGTGTAGGCGTTGTAAAAGATTCCATCAGCAGGTATCCCCACCATTTTTATATTTTTGAAAATATTCGAGTTAAAATTCCTCGGAATCCATGAAAGCAGTAGTGAAATAGCTGACTGACTGAATGAGAATAAACGCTCTGACGAAACGGCTAAAGATAGAATAAAATTAATTTAAATTAAATTAAATTTTTATCAAGGGTAAGTCTTGGTGCGAAGGCATG